TGGCCGAGTCCGACCAAGGAGGTCGTACTCAGACTTTGTCAACAAGGGACCATCCTCGGGATGTTTCTGTACGGGACGAGATCTCTTTCCGGCCTACCAACCACCTCGTAGATGAGTCCTCCAGCGTAGTGGAGTCACAGTCGAGAAAGAGGAGGAGGGTGCAGCTCTGGAAGGCCGTCGCCACCGGCGTTGAAAATAAGAAAGTCGTTGCTTCAAGAGTGGCGTCCTCGACTAGGTTAGGCACAGGGGCCATTTTTATGGTGGATGCTATTTCGGCGGGGAGGTCCCCTAGGGTAGAAGGGACGTACCAAGGCAGGGGACCTGTACGGGCTGCTAAAGATGGCACGTCGTCGGCTGCCGAAGGGGATGAAGCGGTGCTTGCGGAGGACGATGGTTCAGGCTCGGACATTGATCCCGAAGATGTGCGGGCCTTTTTAGAGAGAAATACCCGTGTGGAAGTAAGGACAGAGGGTCCTAACCGAAACGTAATCATTCCTGTGGGTTACGATCTTTTGGCAAACTCTAAGCAGGCAGTGTCGGCATTTGCTCCCTTGTGCACCGCTTTCGAGGACACGGCGCTTCAGGCGATGAGTGACGCGGAGCTATCGCACAGTATTTCCGGCATGGCTTTGCGAGTAAGTGTTTTCTCTTTTTTTTTTCTTTTCCTGTTGGGATTTGTTTCGCATGCATAATCTACTTAAGCTGACTTTCTTTCCTCTACATGTCAACCTCTCATTATGGAGATCGAGCACGACCGGAGGGATGAACGAAGGACGACCATTTTTGAGAAGGTGGCCTCCAAGTACAAAGAGTACCGCACCATGCACCGTGAATCGGCCGATGACTTCACTCAAGATAGCGATTTTCAGCTATTTCACGACGGGCTTAAGCAGAAAGAGGAAGAGTTGGCGCAGAAAGTTGAAGAGCTGAAAGAGCGGGATGATGAGCTGATGAGGGCCATTGGTCGATGCAGTGAACTTGAGGCGGCTCTTAAGGCCAAGGATGATGAGCTCAAGGTGAGCAAGGGGGTGATGGCCGAGAACGCCGATCTTCCGGCGCGGGTGGCCACCTTAACTGCTGAGCTTGGGCGAAGAGAAGTGGAGGCTGTCGATCTGAGGGGTGAATTGAGCGTTAAGGATGATGAATTGGCCCGTGCTGTAAAGGGCAGGGTGACTGCCGTATCTGAAGTAGCAGCCCTGGACAATGTTCTCCGCGTTTGTAGGTTTGAGCTGGATAATGAGGTGGAGACGTCGGCGCTCAAGGTAGCGAGATTAGAAGAACGGATCCAAGATCTGGAGGCGGAGTTGTCCGGATTGAATGAACAGGTTGTTGCTTTGTAGGCAGAAGAATGTGACGGCAGTCGTAGCCCTCCACGTCTCATACCTCTGTTGATCTCGTCGTGCCGGGGGAGTTGTATGAGATGTGGGTTCATGCCGAGGCTCAGCTTGATGTGTACAAGTCCCTGTTGGCTAACGGGAAGGTTTTCGAGGCAGAGCTCGAGGGTTTTCATGTTAAAGCACGTGCAGCCCGTGAAGCCTGTAGTTATGATCCCGGTACGCCTGGCGGGACGATGTCGATGATGATGATGTGGACAGGGTCGCCTCCGATTCTTGGTATGAAGAGGAGTATGCCGCGGGGGATGACGCGGCGTAGGGCCGTTGTATTTATTTTGTTTTGCTTCTCTATTTTTGTGTCGGAGTCTTCGAGCCCTTTGTAAATTGTTTTTTTTTTTGTAATATAACAGTTGTAATGGAATGATTACCTTTCTGTGTACCTCCGAATTGTTATTTTTGTTTGCTGTGAGGGGGTCTCTAGCTTTTCGTCCGCTTGTGTAATATTTTGGCGTAGTCGATCGTAGATCTTAGTAACTCGAGCAAGGCCGTATAAAGTAATTTGAGTCGAATGTTTAAGTGATTCGAGCAAGGTCGATTTTATGTGATTTGAGCGAGGTCGAATGTTAAGTAATTCGAGCGAGGTCAAATATTAATTAATTCGTGCGAGGTCGAATGCTAAGTAATTCGAGCGAGGTCGAATGTTAAGCGATTCGAGCGAGTTTGAATGTTAAGTAATTCGAGCGAGGTCGAATGTTAAGTGATCCGAGCGAGGTCGAATGTTAAGTGATTCGAGCGAGGTCGAATGTTAAAAAATGATGGAGAATAAAATGTTGCTTTATTTCACTCATTGGAGAATATCTTGGTGGAGAGTACAGAATGTTGCTTTATTTCATTCACTGGAGAATACTATACATGTCTATTTCGTTCATATATTGGAGAAGTTTCCATGTATCTAGTCCCTTCATCGTTCGGCCTGGAGAAACAATCGGCAGGCGGGGCGATGAATTATACTTTGAACTTCGAGACGTCCCCTTCATCGCCTCGTTAAAAAACTCCTCGAGAAAACCCAATTGGGAAAAAACCTGGGTGAGGGAAAAAGAGTATGACTCGAGGGGCGTCCTTTTTCAGAAGTTGAAGTATTTGAGGTGGGCGACATTCCAATTGTTTTGTAGTAGTTTTCCATCCATTGTTTCTAGTTGGAATGCTCCTTTGCTTGCTGCTGGTGTGATTTTGTATGGCCCGTCCCAATTGGTTCCTAATTTTCCTTCTTTCGGATCTTTGCTCGCCAGTGTTTTAGCTTTGAGAACATAGTCTCTGACTTTGAGTGGTCGTATTTTGAACTTTTTGCTTGTTGTTTTTGGGCCAGTAATATTCTGCCCAAATGAGGCATCTGACGAGGACTCTGTTGCCTGTATGGGCACCGCAATGACCTTCGTGTACTTCTTCGAGCACGCTCCTTGTTTGATTCGGCCCTAGGCATTTCCCTAAGGGGCCTCCGAACGTTCTCTTGTATAGGTCGTGATTTATGATGTTGTATCTAGCCGCTTGCATTCGAAGCTTTTTGGCTTCCTTTTGTCTTGAGGGATTACTCCCTCCTGTAAATACGTCATGATGCGGTTGCGCCAGTCCCAAGTCAAATTTATGGAATGTACCTCGAGTTGGTCTATTGACGAGTGGAGGAGGGTGACCACATTCTCCTTGGTGATATTTTTGGTCTCCGCTGCCAGTTTGGCGAGTCCATCTGCCTTGATGTTTTGCGCCCGAGGTATCTGGTCGAGTTGACATTCATCGCGGTAGTTTGTGAAATTCTGCTTGATATTTCTGTAGCCTTTGCTCCTTGATTTGGAAAGTCCCTGTAACTTGGTTGACGACGAGTTGTGAGTCGCACCTGAGGACGACTCGTCGTGCTCCGTATTTGAGGGCTAGCTTTAATCCTGCAATTACGGCCTCATACTCAGCCTCATTGTTAGTCATGTCGGGGCACCGTATGGATTGGCGGATAACTTCTCCTGTTGGGACTTCTAGGAGTACGAGTCCCAGTCCAGATCCCGATGCATTAGACGCGTCGTCAATGTAAAGGACCCAGAGGTCGGGTTGCCCAGGAGAGGAACGAAGTGTTTCCTGCTCGACCTCGGACATTATTTTGGCACTAAAGTCAGCGAGTACCTGCGATTTTATCGTTGTTCGCGGCTGATATACTATATCGTGCTCTCTCAATTCTATGGCCCACTTGGCCAATCTTCCCGACAATTCGGGTTTATGCAGGATGCTCTGTAGGGGGAAGGTCGTCACTACCGATATGGGGTGGCACTGAAAATATGGTTTAAGCTTTCGTGAAGCTATGACTAGTGCTAGAGCCAATTTCTCGAGGTGGGGATACCTCGTTTCAGCGTCAACCAGGGTTTTGCTGATATAATAAATCAGAGATTGCGTACCTTTGTTTTCGCAGACCAGTACTGCGCTTACCGCGACTTCTAAAACGGCCAGGTAGATTAGGAGGCGTTCACCAGGTTCTGCTTCGGCGAGTAGTGGGGGTGAGGACAAGTATGTCTTTAGTTCTCTCAGGGCCACGATGCATTTTGGATTCCACTGGAGCCCGTTGTCTTTTTTCAGCACGTTGAAAAACTTGTGGCATCTGTCAGATGACCGTGAGATGAATCTCGACAGGGCGGCTATTCGGCCAGTCAGCTTTTTGCACCTGTTTTTTGCTGGTTAACACTTTAGGTATTCCTTTGGTGGCCAACCTTTGGTATGTGGCCCCTGCGTTCATCAGCCCTTATGGCATGACCTTGTAACAGTACGTTCCCTGATGGGTGATGAAAGTAGTTTTCTCCTGGTCCTCCTCCTCCATGAGGATTTGGTTGTAACCCGAGTAGGCATCCAAGAAGCTTAGCAATTCGTGCCCTGCTGTTGCGTCGATGAGTTGGTCAATGTGAGGCAGGGGGAAAGAGTCTTTTCGGCATGCTTTGTTTAGATCTGTGAAATCTACACACACCCACCATTTCCTGTTTTTCCTTTTTACCATGACCACATTGGCGACCCATTGGGATATTTTGATTCTGGATAGAACCGTTGGCGTGTAGCTTGTCTACTTCGTCGCTGACGACCTCGTTGATTGTGACATTGAATTTTCTCCGTATTTTCTGCACTGGTGTATAGAGCGGGTCGACATTCAACTTGTGCCTAGCGATATCTTTCGGGATGCCCGGCATATCTGAGTGGGAGAAGGCAAACTAGTCGGCATTGTCAATTACAAATTTATGAAATTTACCTGGTTCTGAGAGTTTATGCCCGATGTAAGACTTTTTGCTGCTATCGCTGTTTTTTAGTTGGATGAGATCGAGATCTTCTATCGTCGAATCAGCGGTTTCCACGATATCGGGATCCCTGATGAGTCTGTTTGTACGTCGGGTTGGTCCCCGACATTGTTAATTGCTATGCTTCTGCGTTTGCTCCCTTTAGTTGTTGGGTGTACGTGCAATCCTGGGCGATACGATAGCACTCTTGAGCAATACGTTATTCGCCTCGGATGCTGAATATTCCCCATGGAGTAGGGAACTTGATTACTTGATATAGGCTTGATGGGATAGCCCTCATGGCGTATATCCATGGTCGCCCTATGATGGTGTTGTAGGCTGCATCTTGGTCCATGATATGGAACCTTGTTTATAGGGTGACGCCCCTGGCCAGAACAGGTAGCGTTATCTCTCCAGAGGTTCGCTCAACTGCATTATTAAAATCCATTAGTGTTATGCAACACGGTACTATCTTGTCTTCGAGTCTCATCTGTACGAGAACTAGAGGGTGGATAATACACGTGCCGCATCCATCGTCTACCATTATTTTTTTCACATCAGTATCTAAAATACGTAGAGTAATAACAAGAGCATCGAAATGAGGGAAAGTAAAACCGTCGGTACCCGATTTATCGAAGATGATACTGTCTTCGAGGTCATCGTACTGTTCGTGAGTGATCGACCGCTTGAGTTTGTGTGTAGTGGTGAACTTCACATGGTTGATTGATGCCTCTTCGCCTCCGCTGATGATCCTTTGGATTGTACGAGGGGGGAAGGGTGGCTTTGGAGGTCCCTGGTGTTGTTCACGTTCGCGACCGAAGTTGGCTCGTCCTCGATCGCTCATCAGTTCCCTCAGGTGCCCTTGGTATAGTATTTTTACTACCTATTTCCGTAGAGCTATGCAGTACTCAGTTTTGTGACCCCGCTCCTGGTGAGATTCGCAGAGGACGTTCGACTTTCTCATGCTGGGGTCGGACTTCATCTTCCGTGGTCATTTCACTTTTGTGTCGAGCTTCTCTAGTGCGTACACTATTTCTGAAGGGGAAACACAAAAATTGTAAGCGGATAAGAGTGGAGGCATACCTCTTTTTTTCTGTTGAGTCCCTGTGTGTGGCCTGGGCGGCCCTTCTGCATGTCGGGGAGGCGTAGGAGAGCTTTTCTGACATAGGGCTGATGTCTTTCTCGATTGAGACGGGGGCCTGACTAATCTCTTCGACCATCGTTACGACGATCTTTCCTCGGCTCTGTTTGAATTTATGTCAGCCGTTGGGTCGGACCATTAAGGTCGTCCTCGTCGGCTCTTACCTCAGGGCAATAGGCGTTGTGAATTTCTTCCCAAGTGGTGGGAGGGTATTTCATGAGCCTACTTAATAGTTTTCTGGTTGCCCTCGACCCATTTCAGCTCAACCCGTTCTGGAAGGCCGCTACAGCAATCCCTTCTGATACATTTGATAGGCTCATTCTCACCCTGTTAAACCGGGTGAGGAAGTCCCTGAGTCCCTCGCCGGGCGATTGCCTAACGATGAATATGTCATTCACCCTGGCTTCCGCCTTTTTAGCCCTTGCATGGGCGGTGACAAACTTGTCGGCCATTTCCTCGAACGTTGCTATTGACCGCACCGGCAGTTGTTAACCATGTTAGGGCTCCCCCCGATAAGGTTTCACCAAACTTCTTTAATAACACTGATGGTACTTTCTCCTTCGAAAGGTCGTTGCCTTCATGACGTAATGGATGATGTGATCTTCAGGGTCCGTAGTGCCATCGTATATCTTCAGGTACGGTGGCATCTTGAAGGTTTTGGGAATGGCATGTGGAGCCGCTTCCTCGCTGTATGGATGTTTGACGAACCGACCAACATCTCACTTTGGTAGTAACTTTGGGGAACCTGGTATCTTATCAACCCTTTCTTGATGCTCCCTCATCTGATCGCGGAGCGCCTTGTTTTTGTTTTCCATTTCTTCCATTTTCTTTAAGACGGCTGCAAGTGCATCGTTACCAGCATCAACAGTGGTGTAAGTGTTACCTGTTTAAGGGGCGGGCTACTCGCCAGTGGTTGTGGCAGTATCTGCTTGTGTGGTGTTTCTGTTCTCCCTTTGAACGGGTCTATCGAGTATATTGTTTAGAGTGCTTGTCAGCCACTCTTCCAGTAATTTTTTCACTGTTGATGGTGCTTCTTCAGCTGTGGATGTGGAGGCTCCCCTCTCGCGCGAAACTGTTACGCTTCCGTGAGGGGGAGGTGAAGCACTTTGCCTGGGCGTGGCGTTTGGTGTCACGTTCTCGTTATCTCCTCTACCATCTTCATTGATGGTAGTCAGAATGTTGGTAGTGACGCCTGCTATTGCTTTCTGTCTTGCATCTCCTTTTCCTGCCATTGTTAGTATGTGCAAACGAAGGAAAGATGGTTGTCCTTCTCTCTTTTTTTTTTCCTTTCTTTTTGACCTAGAAAGAACTATAGTTTCAACTAAAAAACTCCCCACAGACGGCGCCAAATTGTTTGAGCAAATAAATGCTAAACCAATTAATGATAAGTTAGAATGGTGAATCTTAGTTGAACTTAATAAATTCCAGATCTAGTAAAATGATGCTTTTGCGTAATGAGTAGGGTTCAGGAGCATTAAGTAGTGGATTAAATTTCCTATGATTGATGATAGTATAAATGTATAATAAATGTATGCATTGACAAAGATTACAATGGAAAAGGAACTTTCACCCAATGATTGGGATGTTTCTTTACTCTGACGGCGACATGGTGAAACGAGAGATCCAAAATGTATATGGGATCTTGAGATTTATGGATAAAAATTGAACAACATGTGCTTGGATAAATGAATAAGATAACTTTTCGTATATTCTTCTTTCAACTTTTACAATGTATCTTCTTTGGTTCAGAGAAGCAGATGGCCTTTTTGTTCCCTATCTCTTCTTATTTATAAGGGACATTCTCCAAAAAACCCTAAAAAGTACAACATAAAGAATATCCAAAGGAATATTCTTTATGTTACCGTTACTATCCTATCTCAGATGCCCGCTTCTAGCGTCGGCCTTTATGAGGACGACCTTCAGTCGTTGTGCCATGGTCGACCCCGTGCTATGTCTTGCTTATCCGTTGCCTTGGTTACCAAATTTGGACCTATACAGATACCTTCCAATATTACCTTAATAGGAAATACTTATAGCCACACAAATGCTATAACCGATTTCATACCACAAGTTTCAAAAGTTTTATGGCCACACAAATATTATGATTTATTTAAGATCACATATTTCAGAAGTCTTAAAGTATGAAAGTTACCCTTCATTTTCATCATTTTATTTGCATAATTCGACTAGTGCGGCTGTGCCCGAGCTAAGCCCGGGCCCAACGGCAATGTGAGCACTTTGTGTCTAGATATATATTTTGATTTAATTTTTTTTTTGTCGAATCTACAGCTTGTTTGGATGCTTGTTATGTTGCATTGTATCGTATTGTTAGTTTAAATAAAATATTTGTTTTGATTGTTACTTAAATTTCATTATATCGTATTGTTTCTCTGTCGATTATTACACCATCCTGGTACCATTCAGAAACTTTTTAAGTACATTTTGTTTAATATACATTATTTATCATAATAGTTTAATTATTTATTAGTTCCTAAGTAAATACAATTTAAAATTTTTAATAAATTATATTCGAATTTGCAATTTTAAATTAGAGATAATTTGAGTCAAATTTTACTTATTTATTTCATCTAATCTAAGGAAAGACAAAAGCAACTAAGAAAAACTTTAAAATAATTAAAAGTAATAAATAACTTAACTCTAACATTTTTCCAATCTATTGGTGTCAATTATGCGTACACTCAAGTGTTTTTACTTTTAAAAGGAAAATAATTGGTGATGTTACTTCATTCTCTTTCAAAATGATAAAACATTTAAATTCTTCAATTTAAGTAATGCCAATTACTCAAATCGGAGATTGCAAGTACGAAATATTTAATATAAAAATTAGAATTTTACATTCAAAAATGCCCTTATCATGTTTGGTTATAAATATAAAGCACATTGAGATTCAAATTTTCCTACTTATTTTTTTTTTTTAATGAAAAATCTTAATATTTTAGAAAGAGATTGTTAACTTACTCTCTTGTTTAGTAAATAATGTTATGACTAATAGTAGTTCAAATTTAAGTTTCTTTTCTTTTCAAACAACTGAATGAAACAAAAGATAATCTTTTTTTATTTTGCTCTTCTATAAAATATGGTTACTGACAAGATGTTTGAAGCGATATAGCATTATAACGCTAATGACTAATTTGACTAAATTATTTTAAATTTAATCTTATTTGATTGGCTCATATTTCAAGTATAAAATTTGACATTCAAAGAACAATAATGTCAGAAGGTCTAATATTCATTATAGACTTCAAATAAGGTGTGTTAACTTTCTTTCAATCTAAACAATATAAAAGATATTGAAAAGTTAGAGACATATGTTTTTCTAATTTAAAGACTCTTTTTGATTTTAAATATTTGCATAATACAAAATGACAATTCCTTTTCCTTTTTATATTTTTCCTGAAGATTTTCTTAAGCCGTTTCTTCATGTTCACAAAATGACATTACTTTTCCCTTTATTTTCATGATGATATTGTTAATTTTGTTCGGTTAGCGGAATGACATACCTTTTTTTTTTTTTTAATTTTTTCGAAAATTTCTTAAAATATTATTTCTGGTTTGACATTTCAACAACCAAACCACACCTATAAAAAGAAATTATAAACTAAATCAAATATTGAATTTTCCCCCAATAAAGGGCTAAATAAAGGGCAAAAATTATATCTCAAAAGAGTTGGCTTCCGAAAAGCTCTCGTATTTATCTAAGCATAAATGCCAAATGAGCTTCAAGGAGATTCACCTATTAAGTGGGGCCCACATTTTCCTTTTCTATGTTAAGGGAAAGTGATGCAAATTGATCGCGTGAAGACAAATTAAGTGGGACCCACGTGTATTTGAGATGTTTGGAATGACCTAATTACTCTCTGAACAGAGAGTTTGCCTGATTATTCTTAACTTGATTTTTTTGTCAATTCACTTGAACCAGAAGCTCCTCTCGATTCCCATTTCTAAAGAGTAAAATAAAGTAATAATATGGTTTATATAAGAGTTAGGGTGAAGGAAAATATATAGAAAGTGGTGGGGATGGAAGACCGAAGACTACACACACCATGTTATATATGGCAGTGATAACAGCGATACATAAATGCAGAAAAAGTAGCGATTGATCTTTGAAAATCTGCTGTGAAAAAGATTGATATCTTTGCATGTACGAGTTTCAGTTTAATGCATTATGTAAAATTAAAAAAAAAGAAAAAAGTATCTACACAATCAAGAATTTTATAAGGTAATTACAGATAAATTTTTATGACATATAAAAATAATTGATAATATGGTAAAAATATAACTAACCTCCTATCACAAGTTAGTTTCACTGATTGTCTACAAATTTAATTTATTAGACTGTCATGCTAAATATATAAATAGTCTATTTTCTTTGTTTCTCTATGGGTCCTTTTGCTCACTTGTGTTTGCTCTAGTCAGTTCATTAGTTCTTGTTTGGTATTTTTTCCGTCTCAAATTATTTATCGTCGTTTCTAAAAATAATTATCTCAAATTATTTGATATTTTAGAACTCAAGACTAAATTTTTTATTTCTTCATATTTACCCTTAATATTAATTATTCTTAAAGACTATAAATACATTAATTATGAGTAAATATTAAATGAAAAGAGGTTATATCTCGAGGCATAAATAAATGTAAAATAGTACTCCCTCCGGTCCAAAATAAGTGATTTTTTGGATGTTTTCACACAGATTAAGAAATCCACCTTTTAGCATTGATTGGCAATGGAATTGACCATATTAACCTTTACTATCTCACATAAACACTCCTAACACATATTCTAATACTATTTACTCCAAGGACAATGTAGGAAAAAAATAATTAATTCATTCTTAAAATCTGAAAAAATTACTTATTTTGGACCACAAGAAAAAGGCCAAAAAATTACTTATTTTGGACCTGAGGGAGTACTAAAAAAATCTCCTATTTAATATTTTCTTAAAAGGCGTATAAAAGAAAAACATGACAAATAATTTGAGACTTAGGGAGTAAATTCTTCTAGTTTTTTGGTCTCATTTTGTGGTCCAGTTTATTCAATTCGTGTTGGGAAGTCCAGATTTGGGGGAAGTGTGCTCCCTATTAAATACAATTTTGATTTTTATGGTTTGAATTCGAGACTGCTGATTAAAAATACAGGCACTTCTACGTCACAACCTTTGGCATCTGTTCATACTAATTACTCTCAGCTTTACGGAGGTTATTTTAGTATGTTCACTGTTCTAATAATTGACAACACAATTGTTATCTCAAACTACAAGCCAATTAACTTTTACTATATAAAGATAATAACTAGAATAGAAAAAAGCAATATTTCTATATGATGATTATCCTAAGAAAGTATCTTCCTTTATTACTTTTCTTGTCCTATATATCGCTGAGTCCAACGAAATGTTTACAGAGAACTCTTATGCAACTAGAACACTCTTATGCAA